GGAGGGGGGAGATCAAGAGTGAGGCTGTATTAATATGCTAATGAGTGCAGTGAAAGCACAACAGGCCCAGTGACCAGGCTAATCAGTGGTGGACACACAAACGGAGGCTAATCTCTCTCTCTCACACACACACACACACACACAGAGGAAAGGTTTGGACAGTGACATCATTTGTGAAAAGACATGAACACAGTCAAATGTGTCAATAAAAGCGTAAGAACTAATTAAAAATGAAGTTAAAAGACATGGAATGTACAATGGACACGTGTTTGTGGCTGCATTATAATAAAAACAGATTTTAAAAAACAAAGTTTATATGTTTCTCTCATTGTTTTGGTTTTTTTTATAAATGTTGAAATCATCCAAATGTCTCTGTGAACAGTGCAGATTTAGATTGAAATACAAAAATGTAAGACAAGTTCGAAATAGTGAAATCGGTGTAGTTATCCATTTACGCCACTGGAGGGCGACAAACTGTTGCCTAAACCTAATCGGTAACACGGCTCCAGCGGGAGGAAACTGCTGATTTTATGATTATAATAAATATCTAAAGTATTTCAAGTTAGCCAGATATAGAATGAAGATTTGTACATACCTGAAGAATTCCCACCCTATAACAGAAATGTATTTATTAAAATACTTAATGGCTGGACTTGTTAAAAGGTGTAAAACTAACTGAGCTCAGGTGTTGACCTAAACTAGCAAAACTCAAGGAATAATAACCCATAATAATAATAATAATAATAATAATAATAAAACATGTTGTTATAATTATTTTACTCTGTTTACGTGGTTTATTTGTTCTCATTGATGATTGATAATTTTAATAAAAAAAATTTAAATTTAATTTTTACTGATCTCATCGTCATGACCAACAGCAAATGTCTCGTCATACCAGGAATATTCGTGGGTTCGGGTACAAGGTGAGTTCCTGGTCTATTTACTGGGCCACAGCAGCAGGTTGAGTCGAAGCCTCGGTGTCCGACAGTAACCTCTGTGCACCGACTGACTCACTCGGCTGAACTCGTCTCGACCTCTTCACCCCTTCGCTCCGTCTGTGCGGCCGTAGAACCACACTGGCTGCGGGGGAAGGGCGGCACATAAATGTTCGTACACGTCAGTAAATGTCCGTACACGTCAGTACATGTCAGTACACGTCAGTAAATGTTCGTACACGTCAGTATATTGAAAACATTAAGCATTGGTGGTTCAGTGATTCCCGGCCAATGCAAACTCTTACGTTACCTCGATTTCCCTTTGGGATCAATAACTTATCTATATGTCAGTATATATAGTAGTACACGTCAGTATATGT